GGGGGGGGGGGGGGGAAAGAGGATTGAAATTGAAGTTGAAAGCTTGCTTTACTTTAGCTGAACGCCCGTGCATTTTGAGTTGGCATTCAATCTTACCAATCCTAAGAAAATGCAGAACAACTGGACCACGTCCGTGTATGCGACTGAGTATAATCCACCGACCAGGGTGTAAAAAACTGCAATCACCGCAGAAATTACAACCGACAGGTTTATATTGATGTCCACTATCACACTCAACGTTGCACCTGGGAAAAAAAAATTGTATATTTATTGGTTTAATGTTGGCTTTCCGTACAGCAAATATCAAAAATAAATCCTTACTTTCACCGCCTTAAAATAAAACTTTTTGCATTGTTTACAGAGAAGTGGCCACTGTCTTTATTGCAAATAAAGCCGAAATTTACTCCGGGACGTAAATAAAACGCGGATTTGGGATTAAAATCGGCAGTGACTATCTTTTGAGACACGTCCTCCGCGCTGGGAGTAGGGCTTTACCTAGAGCGGAGAGAACGGCTGCAGACCAAAATATCTCTCCCATGAGAGCGGGGATGAAGAGTAATCCGCCCATTCTTTTGCCGTAGATCTGCTGAAATGGATCCAACATGGTCACGTAGCCCCTTGAGCGCATGGGTTTAGCGAAAAATAAACCACCTGTAAGACAAAGAAACTCTAGAATCCCAACAGAAACCGAATCGCTAACTACTCACATAATCAAGGGGCCGGTCTCAGTCAGCTCCATCGCTCACGTTCGGAAAACTAAGCTTTTACTTCAGCACGACTTGCACTGCCTTAAAAACGGTTTATTCTGGAAATTCACATGCACTCAAATTGCGATCAGTGTCTGTACTTAATAATCCGCAATTTTCAGTTTTATTCTGATGCAACGCGGTGAAAAACAATCTCCACGACAATTTAACATGATTAAAAACAAAAACTCGAAAGGTTAACTCTGCATCTCTCTCCAGAGATGCTGCCAGACCTGCTGAGGTTCTCCCAGCAATTTCTGTTTTTGTTTCATATCTCCAGCGTCCGCAGATTTGTCCTTCAGTTTAGTCGTGTTTGCGGTATTTGATTGAATTATTTTAACGCTGTCTTTCGTTCGGACATAACTTGCTGGAAACAAGGTTCTTCGAATGTTATTATTTGGCTTCAATGTGATAACAGCGTCCAAATGAGTAAAATGTGAGAGAAATGTAATTTCTTCCTCTGATTGGATTCTGGAACGGGGAAGATCGAACCCGTTTTAACGCATAGTGAATATATATGTGTTTTTTTTAAATTTGTGAATATCAAAGGAAAACTATCTATCGGTTCCACTGAACGTTCATAAATGTAAGTCCAGCATTGAGTGCATGGTCAGATTTAGTCCCTTTCAATAATCCACTGATTCTTCAGCAAGCAGTAATAAAATCGGCTTCAGTAATTTGGGAAGCGATATATAAAACGTGTCACTCCAAAATGAGTTGACAACGACTGAATTAAATGTGCGCGGAGTTAGCTGTGAACGGCTGCTGTAGTCCTCGCTGCGGAGAGATTGGACACTGAGCCACAGACAGACCCGTGTTGTACCCGATGCGTTTGTTGCTGTTTAAGAAAAAAAAGTTGCTGCAATACCACTGACAGTGGACATGGGGACTTGTATACGGCATTTGTTGAAGATTCCAGGCTGTTTTTGTTTGTACAACCGCCAAGAGCTATGGATCATACCTACAACCAGGCTGAGTGCATATCCAAACGGAGCTTGAGCCCAGGCCAAGCCGTATCCAGGGACATAAACTGCCTCTGCCGTGCCATTGATATAACCACCGCCAACCCAGGTCGCTGTAATGGATAAAGAAGGATTTGTTAGATGAAAGACAATCTCATTCCAAGACAATAGCAAGTAGAATGCTGACTGTCGCACCAACAGAAAGTGAGAATTGCGAAAACATACGCAGGGACAGAGAATGCATGGTCCTTATCGGTGATCGGGATTAATATGCATTTACCTGCTTACACATTCAGAAACGACAATAAAAAAGCAGCAGCAGTTCTGAGGGGAGAGAGGTGTACAGAAAGGGCAGTGCAGGAAGGTGCACCTCAGAGTCTGCCTTGCTTTTCATCTCTCTTCATCTAGCTTCAGATATTAGTCAGCGGAGAATCACACGCACTTTTTACGATCAGTTTACTGTCGCTGGTGAGGAATTTTGCGGACAGAAAATCGCCAGGAATAATATTTTTAACGCACAGTTAACGATTAGTTAAAGCGTTTCAAAATTGTGGAGCTTTGTCACGAGAAACGCAAGTTTTTAACACACACTTTCATCTTCGTATTTACTTCATCGAAGGCTAAACCCCAACCCCCTAAAGGCTAACACCACCCCCCTAAAGGCTAACACCCACCACCCCAAAGGCTAACACCCCCCCCCCAAAGGCTAACCCCCCCCACCTACAGGCTAAATCCCCATTACAGGCTAACGACCCCCACCACCTACTGGCTAACCCCCCTCGCAGGCTAACCCCCCTCACAGACTAAACCCCTTCAGGCTAACTTCCCTTACAGGGTAACCATCCCCCTAAAGGCTAAAACACCCCACCCCTCACAGGCTTCCCTTACACGCTAACATCCACCGCCAACCCCTTTGCAGGCTAACCCTCCTTACGGGCTAACCCAGCCCCTACAGGTTAACTCCCCCTTACAGACTAAACACTCCCCTCACGGGTTAAGCACCCCTCCCCCCATAGGTTAGTCCCCTCTTAACAGGCTAAAAACTCCCCTCACAGGCTAAACCCCGAAATATTGTCGAGATGTTCTTCTTTCCCCGGGAGCGGCTCTCGCACCGATTCCGGACCAGGTTAACTGCGCTCGGACAGCGGGCGAAGCTGCTGAGCGGACCCGCCGAATGGGGTAAAATATCACTGGGATACTCACCTGTCGTGGTGAAGCTACCCACCAGTAACCCGATGTCTCTTCCTCCAATCATTATCGCTTCACTCCGGTCTTGTCCTGTGTTCGAGTTTTTACTTTTCCAAGCAGCCCACACTCCAACACATAAAATCAGGAGATAAAACAGGACAATAGCGACTATCCCATCGATGTGAATGGCCATTTTCAGTCCGATTTGGAGGTGACAGCAAAGCTGCTAACCCATCCGAATCTAAAGGAAGAAATAAATGCAATTTCTGTTATTCAGGATAAATGATCAATGCGACGCGTAGATCCCTGAATATTACATTAAACAATCACCTTATTGGATAATGACCGTACTTAAATACGAGTGGCTTTCAGATTCAGTGAACGGGCCGTTTCAAAACGTCTCATTTAAACAGTCACCGCGAGATGGACAATACCATCAGCTGTGTTGGGAATTAATAATGGGAAATGCGCCGTTGAACCCGCCTTAGCTAACACGCCACTACAGTAATGGAGAGTGTGGAATGCATAAGACAGCCAGAAGAGTTCGATTCGGAGAGCCTTGTGAAGGTTCAGCAACAGGGATGTTCAGACAAATCCTCACAGCCCCAACCTGCATCGAGCTGAAGAAGCAACTTTGCCAATTGCCGCCGCAAGCTTAGCCTTTCCATTAACGTTGTAGATCCAGGGGGAATCCTTAAGTTGTGCAGAGCATTCTGGCTTTGTTGTTGGTTAAGGGAGTATTTAAAGGCAAACTCATTTATTTTACATTAAATATAACATTGGATGATGGACAGATATTCCGCGCTGGCCACCCTGCCATTTTGCAGGTTAGGAACATTACTGCACTTAAACACACACACACACACACACACAGAGTAGGTTAGGCAGCATCAGTGGAGCAAACGAGAAGATTAGCGACTCAGAACTGGAGCTGGACCCAAAGTACAACCTTTTCCTAGAAACTGCCTACCACCGCTGTTTCAGATCCCCAGTCCCCGCTGCCCCTTGTTGTATTTTGGTTATTGTTCACTGTATCCAATCACTGGTAACCGTCATAACGGTACAGCATTAAACATTTCAATCGTCGTGAAATTGATGTGCGGTAAAGCAGCACAGCCCAGGACACGGAGTTTCTCTCGCCGGGAATCATGAAGGTGAAGTTACCACTCCATCTGTAATTGTCAATTTAGCCCCGCTTTTACTCCGATCTCCAAGCAACGAGTGGGGCTAGAGTATTTATTCACAGCGTTAACACATCGATGCACACTATCCACAAGACGATGCAAAATGAAGCTGAGATAGTAGGAACTGCAGATGCTGGAAAATCTGAGACATCAAGGTACAGAGCTGTGTTCATCCAGCTCTGCACCTTGTCGCAAAATGAAGCTGTCTTTTTTTCTATCAGGGGGCTTCTGTGAATCGACTTACCTTCGAATGAAAGTGTCTCGCCTTTCAAGTTGGGGACGCAACGTGCTACGTTTGACTCGGGTCAGGGAGCTGGGAGATCAGGAGCAACAGGAGCCGAGTGCCGTTCTCTGGATTGCATTGAGCGGCCACCCACTGACTGCACTGGGTTTATAGAGGCGGGGGGCTCCGTCAGCAACTGCAGATGAGGAAAGGGACGAACGTCACCGAGCTCAGAATGAAATCTCTCAATGAATGATTTGACCTTAATTTTTGACCTGAAATTCGTTAAATAACTTCTGAGAGGAAATAGCTTGACGCACAATTTAAGAAGGCGGACTTAGTTTAATCAATGGAAATAAAAAATGTATCAATGGCTTCAATGCCCTTCACCATTCCAGCTCTGGATTGTCGCTAGTGTTCTAATTTTGGTTTCTTTATTAAAAACCTGATTGTGTGTTGAACAGGAAAACGCTTAATTTTGAAGGGGAAACGATTCTCTGAGAGAGCTGCTCAGGAATATTAAATCATTGACGGGCAACTAAGCATTAACTTAAGCTTTGATGTTCAAGAGCCAAAAGGCTTTTAGGGAACTTCAGCGAACAGTGAAAGCGTGGCTCCTGTGTGAAATTGTAAAGAAAAATACTCTTCTGGCTGACTGTGACAACGCGGTTGAATCGCCAAAGCAATGGGAGAGATCGACTGTTATACCCGGAAAAATTGCTAAAATTGACACCGCCCCCAACACCGGTTTAAGAAAAGTTATTAACTTTAAAGTAACACAGGTGCCAATATCGATAAGAGGGGAGCGGTACAGAAGCTACATTCTGACTCGCCAATGGTGGGTGGCTTAAAATGAAGTCTGACATTTACTTACCGAACTATCAAGAGGCGACTTGTTCCCGGTGACTGGTTCAATCAAATGCCCCCCGCCCTCTTAGATGCCCATCACATATTCCCATGGTACTGTTTTGTAGAAGATCAGGGGAGTTTTCCCCTGTGCCCGGACAATATCCTAAGTAATTCAGTGCAAAAAAAAGGTCATAAGAGCATTGTTGTTTGTGGGATCTTGCTGTGCACAGCTTGCCTCATTCCCAGCATCACAACAGTGAACCACATTGTGTAATGTAATTTATTGAATTGGAAGGAGCCGTGAGGCACCAGCAGTTCCAGAATTGTCCCATATAGGTGGACGTTCTTTCTTTGCAGGTGTTGTGCACATTTATGTAGCGAGGCGAATAAAAATCTCTCATGTTGTCTGAAAAAACAAAAAAAATCGGCAAAGCTATGCAAAATGTCCCTGTAAGGTGAAACATTCACCAATTGTCCTATGGATCCCTGACAAAAGTGAAAATATCAACTTGAGAAGCTAAGAAACGGGAACAAGAGAAGACCATTTCAGATTTCTGAAGAAGGGTCTAGGCCTGAAACGTCAGCTTTCCTGCTCCTCTGATGCTGCTTGGCCTGCTGTGTTCATCCAGCTCTACACCTTGTTATCTCTGTTTTAATTTACAATTTGAATTTAAATTTAACAATTTTCTCAGCAGCAACCTTGCGACTTGAATTCTCACAGTTTGTTCTGGCCAAGTTCAAATCTCTACAATCCACTGATTAAACTGGAGCCTCGGTTTCTGAAAGAGGCTAAAATGTTAATGTTGAAGTTGAAACTTCAATGGCATTAATACATATAAAGAAATTCAACAGACAAATGCAACCAGGTTATTCCTTTCTTCTATTAAATTACTGAGAAATAATCAGCAGATCCAACAGTTTCAAAATATATTTTCAGTGAGTAGATTATCAACATACTGTGAAGTTATTTATTTACTTGGAAAAAACATGTCTACATGTGCCTTTCCATTGTTAAATGTTGTTAAATTTGTAACAAGTAAGATTGCTTATAGAAATGTACTATGTTTTAAAATGTAAAATATTACCTATTGCTGAAAAAAGCACGTTGAAGATCTTGCTCTTATTTTTGTTATTTTTCACATTTTATATCAACCTGATGAGTGCAACGTGAAAAACTTTGGCACAATGTATCTCTTTCTTTCAACAAGGCTCAAGTTCTGCAATACCTAATGACGATTAATATGTAAATACATTGTGTAGAATGGGGATGGGAACCTCCAGCCACAGGCCAAGTCTGGCCCGTTGCTCAATTTATTTCGAGTCAACTGGCCCTCAGCAAGATCCTGGGCCAAACAGCTGCCATGAAGTCACATGTAAACTAAAGTGGGAACAGCAGAGTGCATCATAGGTATGAGTTTGGGAGCACAGGAACCATAGGCAAAGTTATAGCATGAAAGCAATATCAGAAGAGATGCACAAAGTGATGCACTTTGGTAGAAAGAGCATTGAAAGACATTTTAGATGCTATTCTAAAAGGGGAGCAGGAGCAGAGGGACCTGGGTGTTTATGTGCATGATGAGTGAAGGCGGCAGAACAAGTGGAGAGAGCAGTTACTAAAGCACAGTGTCCTTGGCTTTACTAATGGGGACAGAGAGTACAAGAGCAAGAGGTGATGTGAACCTGTACAAGACACTTATACCTCAGCTGGAGTATTCTGTACTGTTGTGGGCATCACATCATGGGAAAGGTGTGAATGCATTTGAAAGAGAGCAGAAGCAATTTACAAGAATAGTTTCAAGAACAAGAAACTTCAGTTATGAGGACAGATTGAAAAAATTGGAACTATTCTTCTGGGAGAGAAGAAGGCTCAGAAGGAGATTTGATAGAGGTTTTCGAAATGATGAGTGGGCTGGAGAGTGTAGATAGAGAGAAGCTGTTCCTACTTGTGAAAGGAACAAGATGATAAGGCATGGATTTAAAGCGATGTGCAAAAGAAGAAAGGGTGATATGAGAAAATAACTGTTTCACTCAGTGAGTGATTAGGGTATGGAACGCACTGCCTGGAAGTCTTAGAGTCATAGAGTCATACAGCACAGAAACAGACCCTTTGGTCCAACCAGTCCATGCTAAACATAATCCCAAGCCTGCTCCTGGCCCGTATCCCTCCGAACTATTCATATTCATGTACTTATGCAAATGTCTTTTAAATGTTGTAATTGTACCCATAGTCACAACTTCCTCAGGAAGTTCATTCCACACACGAACTGCCCTCTTTGTAAAGAAATTTGCCCCAATGTCTTTTTTAAATCTCTGTCCACTCACCTTAAAAATGCACCCTTTAGTCTTGAAATTCCCCATCCCAGGGAATAAGCACCAAACATTAACCCTATCTATACCCTCATTATTTTATAAACCTCTATAAGGCCACCTGTCACCCTCCTATGCTCCAGTGAAAAAAGTTCCAGCCTATCCAGCCTTTCTTTGTAAGTGTGGTGGAGGCAGATCAACTGAGGAATTCAAGAGGACATTGGATGATTATTCAAATAGAAATCACGTCTAAGAGTTTTGGAGAAAGCAGGAGATTGACACTAGGTTATGATGCCTTTTTGAAGAGATGGTGTAGCCACAGTGGGCTGAATGGCCTTCTTTTGCCCTGTAACAATTCTATGAGGACAGCTTGAAGATCTGGGATCCATTGCCAGAGAAGCAGTGGCAAGGCCTTTCGAGGTGAGCAGCCTGGCAGTGCAGAGGACAACGGCAGAGAAATGCCTGCAGAGAGCGGTATTAGAAAGTTTACTACAGAATGACCACAAAAATGACTCCTGCCAACAAAAGACGAAAAGGGGCCATGGAGAGCTGTCTTTTTAAGGAGAAAATGTGGTGGTGAAATGCAAGCCAAAGGAGACCATGTTGAAGTTGTGACAAATGTAGCTGGAG